GGAAATGAGCTCTTTAAAGTGTTGAGAAACCACATTTGTGGAAATAAGTATTCCTTGTGCACACTTTGTGGGCTAATTCTTAAGCAGTAAAAAAAAAAAAAGGCTCAAGCAATTATAGAGACATGAAAAGGCTATAAGAGAGGAGCATAAAGGGAGTTGTAGATTAAAATTCCCCCAGTGTTCACTTGCCTTTCAATACTTTGTATGCAGGAGTATAAGTAAAACCCCATATTGCTTAATTATCTAAAATGTTAAACTATTTTTCTTTGGTTCATTTTTGCCTCTATCTTTGGAATTCACACTGGGGTTAACAAACAGACCACATTTTTCTTTCTTATGTGACTAGAGGGAATAGCAATAGAAATTCAATGTAGCAAAAGGGCCACACAGAGTTACAGAGATGGCCCTAAACTTCCCGGGGGACTAACCCCGAGAGCTTTTGTAGAAATCATTGGAACAGCAGAGACCTCCTTACCCATCTGCTGTCAAGTTGTTAATCTTCTGTCATCTTTTCTTATTTGTTGCTTTTGACAGCCAGCTTATGGTTTTATTTACCAAGTGTCTGTATTGTAAGTATACCTATAATTATGAGACTTTTTTTTCTGCCACGACTAAGTAAGTAGCTGGGATGCTTAAGAAAGAAACACCTCCAGAGGAGCTAAAACTTTAAAGTTAATAGTAATCTGCCCAAATAGATTAGCAGCGTGTTTCCAGTACAGAACAAGTGGTCCTGATCTCTTTGTCTAACACTCTGCTCTGCCAAACCTTCCCTGCTTTCAGAGAAGAAGGCTTCTAGGTGAAAGCTCATATTTTGACGTAGATACTTGGAGGCTGAAAACGTCAAGCAATTAATTTCACCTTTGTTTCCAAGGTCAAAAACAAGGTTGCTGCCTTGTTTTATGGTATCCATACTAGAACAATGCCATGTATTCATAATAGACTTGATTTAGTCTGAGAGCCCTGTGAAACTCATTGGCCAAATGAACTCTAGATTAAATTTGTCAGTTATGTAAACACCTGTGAGCATAAAATAATTTTTACACTTCTTGTCTCATGACGACCCCCCATTATTTTCATCATGATCTTTATTTATTTATTATATTTTTTTGGTTGTGAGCCTAGCCTTTAACGGCTGAGCCATCTCTCCAGCCCTATTTATTTATTTATTTATTTATTTATTTATTTATTTATTTCAGAGACATTGGCATTAACAAATGGGAACATCAAAAAATGCTGTCCAAGCAGAATTAAAATATTTAGCCAGAATATTCAAATTGTATATTTGCTTTTGAGAAAGGGTCTCTCTATGTAGTCTTGGCTGTTCTGGAACTCACTCTGTAGACCAGGCTGACCTCTAATTCACAGAGATTCTCCTGTCTCTGCCTCCCTAATGCTGAGATTAAAGGTGCGAGCCACCACATCTGGTCATGTGATTGTTCTTATAATGATTTCGTTTTTATTCAGTTCTGATGAAAAATAATTTTAAAATACGCTATCACCTTTAATGTAATACATATAATACCTGCTTTGTAATTTATATAACTTTGTTCTCATCAGGGTGAAAGAGCCTTTTAGATGGAATAAGTAGTGATTACAGGATAAATGTTTGCCAGGCTTCCAGGCTTCAGACTCCATCATTTACTAGTTGAGTGATCTGGGGCAAATAACTTCAATGCTATGTGCCATAGTTTCCTCATCTGTGAAATGGGTTTGAAGGATTTAATGAGTAAATATATAAAAGATGTCTAAACTGTCTTACATACAGAAAAGTACTCAGTGACTGTCTCAGAATAGATACAGATGACCTGCCTTGTAATGTCCCTAATTTATTAAGAACTCCAAATATTTCATATTCATCTAGTTTAATAAAGTTAATGGTAGTAATGACTACTTTTCAAATACAAAGTACAGTCTTACTATAAAAATTAAAAATCTAGTAACTGGTTACTACCTTTGCTCCATTGGTACTGGTTGAGAACCCCTCATCTGAGCTGAAATTTTTGAGTTTTATTTACATAGATAGATCTCTCTATATATGCCTACTGAGAATGGGGTCTGGATATAACTGGATTATGTTTCCTATACATATTAAAGGTAATATGAAGTTTCATTGTTTTTTTTTTCCTTTTTTTTCACTTTGGGAATGAACAATTTTTATTTATTTTTATTTGTTTGCTATTGTGCAAGGTTTTTTGTTTGTTTGTTTGTTTGCCTTTATGTTGACTGTACTCACCATATGAGGATATGAGGTCACAGTGGACTTTTTACTTATGTCTGGTCAGTTTTAGATTTGGAAGCCTTTTGGAGTTTGGAGTGTACTTCTGTGACATATAGACCATTGGAAGACATTCTGTACAGTTGGTAGTCCTGTTGGTGTCTGTATAAGAAGCCGTATGTCATGCTTCGTTGTGGTGTGCATTGAGTTAAACCGGAAACTAAGGAGCTTAGGCATTCATCTGTACTGAGACTGCATGTGTGGTAGGCACGGTGTTTTTCTTCAAGGCTTTCGTGGCTGAACACAGGTGAGCAGAGGGCCCATGAACCCAGTCTCAGTCTGCAGGCACACCGTGCTTTGGAATTTATTGTTTCTGTCACCCTACACTGTTTCTCCTCCAGAGAAAAAGGCCTTGAAAGTATTAGTTGTGATTTCTTGAAGTCAGCAGATGTTTTAGACTCTGGTGGTTTCTCTTCCCCCTTTAGTCTTTTTCATTAAAGAGTTTTATTTTTGGATTGAGAATGAAAGGAAGTTAATGTCTTACAAAATACTGAAGTTGCAATAATTTGCTAAACACTCTTTTTAACCAACCTTCTATTTTATTTCATTTTTTTTTTAAACTTTCTTTGTACCCTATGAAGAAAGAAACCATGGGGTATGATTTGTTCTGGGAACCTTAGTTTTGCATTTCCATCCCACACTTCATCATCTATCTATAATTCTTTGCCGAACAAGTCAGTTGGCAGGACAAAAGGTCCTGCTTTGGCCAGATTTGTTTGCAAAGATCTGCAGAGCCATTTCAGCTATGTAAGAGAGCAAGCTGGGTGCTGAAAACATGAAGCTGGAGGGACTGTGATAAACTGTATTTAAAGCTGGACGGAATCCCAGGGTTTGCGGAATTTTGCGATGCAAAAGCAAAAGCTTTAGTCAGGAGACTAGTGAGTAACAGGTATTCTAAACTATTTCCGTTTTCCAGATCAGGGAGTTAGGAAATTAAAACTATAAACACACACCTAGGTTCATGGCATACACTGATGTCTGAAGGAAGTTTCAGTCACATGACTGCTGTTTGCTGTATTCTGCAGATTGGGAATTGACGAAGCCCCGAGGCTCTAAGAGGTACTTGCAAATGCAACTGTGTCTTAAATTTGTAAGCTGTTGAAGGAGTTTCTGATTTCTGTTAGTGCGAGCATTTGCAATTTTTCTAATCGGAGCAAAAGAACATCCCAGAAGGCACAGGGTCTGCAAGGCACAGGTGTGGTGTCCTTGCTGCCAAGGAGACACTTCACTGGCTGCCTGTGACTTGTTTCCAGACTTCAGGAGACACTGGGTTTCAGAAAGCAGCTAGGACAATGAATACTAATACAGCAATTGCTGTCCTATGAACTTTGAAAGCACATGGGTTTGATAACTTTAGGATATACTCCACAGGACATTCCCTCTGTGGGATCACTATTATGGTGCTTAATTCTTATCATCTCCCTCCTCTTTTCAAGCTTTGCTATAAATTATATCCAAATCAAGAAAGTTAACCTGCAAAAACCCTTTTCCTCTTCTAAGAGTTCTTGACATTGGGCCTCTCCTAGCCCAGAGAATGCCCCTCTTTCTCTTGTCCTTTGCTGGTGTTAATTTTACCCTTTGCACTTTGCTATCTAAGTAAGTTTCTCCACCTTTGTGTCGTGTGTTATGACAGTTGGTTTTGCCTTTCGTGACTAAGGATCGTAACTGCCAACTTAGGTTAAAAATATTTGAAGATGAACAGTTTCATAAATTCTTTGGAGTGTGTGTGTGTGTGTGTGTGTGCGCACACACATGTGAATTACTAATAACTATATCACCAATCTGGACCAGTCTTGAAATCAGTAAGATCTATTAATAAAATACATCATGTTAACAAAATGCTACAGAGATCAGTTTGAAAAATATTGTGATAAAAGAATGCATCTTGTAGGGAACCATGTGGTCTTTGTTGCTCTAGGATTTGATGAGGGGAACCACACAGAAAGTTGTTAATGCTTAGAATTATCTGTATCCTCTGGGTAACCACCATGTGCTGCTCCAAAACAACTTCTGCTGCTCTCTTTTCCTGGTTTGTGTCTGCTGTCCTGGCACCCTGACCCATGCCCCTCACGCTCCTCTTAGATCAGTGTTCAAGTCCACCTGGAACTGTATGGACTTGAACTTACCTGCTGTGAAGTTGTTACAGCGTTCTGGTGCTCTCCATGCCTTTGGGTCCTCAGATCAGATTCCAAAGCTAGTTGTACTTGGTGTTCTTTTCATGGAAAGGGTTTATTATTAAGCTCAAGTGTTAAGGGCTGTGTCTTAAGTGGCTGCTAAATGCTAAATGCTTATCTGTCTGATAAGCATTTTCATGCCACTTATGTGTAGTAAGTAAAAATAAAATTTAAAGTTTGTTCTAACAGCTCTCAATTAGTTATAACTATTCTTTAATATTTTTGAGTAAGAGTCAATATTACTACAATAAGGTTCAAGGATCAGATTGACACTACACCTTTACTTTCAATTATTACTTGATTGTAATCACAATGAAACACTGTTAAATCTTTTGAAATAGAAAATTTGCTAACATTCACTTTACCTAACCAAATGTCTTGCTTTCTTAGTAAAAACATTCCTTCCCCTCTCCTTTGCTGTCTTAGTTCATTTCATGTGTCTTTTATATAATAGACCTGAGCTGCCTGTGTTGAAGGAGGAGGCTGTATGACGTTTTAGCAGCTTTCCATGTGATGGAATTTAACCTCAGCTTATGTCTCTCCCTACACAGTCCCTTCAGTCTGAATATGTTCATTACTAAGGCCATGGCATTCCAGTGAAGGCGGTTCCATTCTTAGACATCTGGACGTGCAATGTGGAGGGGACCAGCTGCTTGCCCGGAGGATGTCTCTGTCTTCTTACCTTAGAGAGTGTTAAACATAGCACTGTTGAGAGACTTGAGCCAGAGCACTGGCTAGTGACTACTATAAATGCACTGCAATGATCTTTATGGAGATGTCCATACTCGTATAAGACAGTTTTAATGTTGAATTTGGTATTTTCAAAGGTTATTTTTAACATATTTCGGTAATGCATTTGTTACTGCATTTTCATGTACAGTGTTACATTATATATGTATCGTGAACTTTATAAAAGACTATTTTGATAATTTTATAAGTATATAAAATTATGTAAAAGCTAGAATATATTTTGATTTAGACTTTCCTGCTGTTTGCTACCAAAAATTTGTATCTTAAATGTGTTTAGCTTTAGTATGGTTTTGTCTACAATGAGTAAATAATACTTCCTTATTAAGTGAAAGTGAGGGAGTGAATTTTTAGAAAGTGACTTTAATGTTCCCCCTATAAATTCAGTAAACCAGAACATTCTTTCTTGAAGTCTGTCTGAACTGGAGTTCATCCAAATTTAACTCTACCAAGAGTGCCGTTGTTTGGTGGGGCTTATTAGGAAAAAACTTTTCCCCCTTTGTTTTTGTTCTTGAACCTTTTGAATAGGAAGCTTAAAACAACAACAACCCTTTAGCATCCTTTTAAGACCAGAAATCGCTGTGAGTCTCTCCTGAAAGCATGGCTTCCCCCCCCCCCCCAATGAAGTGACAGAACATTCCAAATACTTTTATTTCTTTCTTCCTCTCATGAGTGCTTTAAAAAAGAAATGCCTTAAACCATTTATTTTGCTTATACCTTCTTGTAAATATGCAAAGGAAGGGTAGGGTTTTAAAGAAACTTGTCTACAGTTTGTGAGAACACTCTCAGTAAATGTATAATAATGCTGTTAAAGACCAAAAGGCACTTCAAAAGAGTTTGTAACCCAGAGCATTCTGCTTTGGGTATGAGGTGGTCTGATGTCAGTTTCAAAGCAATGAAGGAATAAATCGAATAAAATGCTGCTAAGTAGATCTGTACACTAAAGGAGATGTTTTAATGGAACACATGCCCTGATGTACACATGGGTCTGTCCAGAACTAGATGTCAAAGTGAAAGGTCCCCTGAGGGTATGTTCAGCCTTTTCATGTAAGTCTGATTCCAAATTTGTTTTCAGAAGCCTATTGGCTTCTTGCCTATATGAGACAGAGAGTCTCAAATACTGATCTTCTTCCAGGCTGCTTGAGAATGGGCAAGGGATAGTTAAATTGTTTCATGCAAAGTGCTTTATTCCAACCATTGAGTTATTTATAATGTATTTATTAGGAGGGGAAATCTTCAGACTAGTATATATGCTTCAGCAAGACGCCTTGTTCATGTATTACACTTTTAAAAAGGCATTGGAATGAATGTTTGACTCAGGTTTGTAAACATAATTTCCCATAACTGCAGTACCAAATAATTTCACTCACCTGATGGAAAGTTGAGTTATATGTTTTTAGAATCGAAAACATAAAGAAGAATTAAATTGTATATCTTTTCTAAAGATGAAAAAATATTTTATTATGAGTTATTTTAAAAAGTTTGTTGTATAGGAAGAAAATACTATTTCTTTCAAATTATCATTGGAAAGTAATTGAGGCAACATTTGAGATGTGGGGGAAGAGAACCATATTATCATTTTTAGTTGTTCTGTGAACACCAATGAGTGCAGCTACTAAAATGATTGTAAAGTTGACTACTGTAAATTTTCATAATTATCTGTGTATATATGTCATATGTATCTACATGTGTATGTCTTGAGCTTATTTGTACACATGTACATACATAAGGCACACCAAGAAGGGGATGTGTGTAATATAGGGTTTATATAGCAGAGAGATTCTCTACTTATAATAAAAAATTGTTTGCCATGTATTTTGTTATGAATAGTTTATCTCCCAGAAGATATTTTGTTCTATTTTGAAGTGTAGAAGAATACACTGCTAATAAATAAAAGTTTTATGCAATTTACTCCTGGATATCCATCATTTTGATTTTGCATTGTTTATGTACTTAAGTCTCTTTGTAATTTTAGTTTTGACTCCATATGGTTGGCTCCCTTAGGCTCAGAATCTTTTTGTTTGTTTGTTTTTTGATACAGGATTTCTCTGTGTAGCTTTGTAGACCAGGTTGCCATTGAACTCACAGAGATCTGACTGCTTCTGCCTCCCAAGTGCTGGGATTAAAGGCAAGACCCACCACCACCACTGGGGCTCAGAATCTTTGACTTTCAGTCTAGCTTGTATTGATCTCCTCATGCACAAGGCCACATGCTCAGAGCAACTTTGTACTTTGAATCTCACAAACATCAAAGAATACCGATTCCTCTTCTCTGTTTTAATAGCTCCAAGTTTCCTTTCTGTTAATAAAACATCTTTGAGGACCCAAAGCTCTGGTCCTGCCATGGCATTGGAACTACTGATGACACTTGTACAGCATGCTGGAATGAGTTCCTTTTAAAGAAGGACCAGTTTTCTTAAAGAGAACATTACAGAACTAAATCAGATGAGCAGGTGACCCCATCTTGACCCTTTCCAGGAAGCACATCCTATGGATGGGAAGTGGGTTTCACATCTGGAGGTTTTTGTTTTTGTTTTCCTTTTCCCACCGCTGGAGATTGAGCCCCAGATTTCATGTTAGGCAAAGTTTTTACCCTACATTACAATTGCAGCTTATATCTAGAGCTGGGAATGAGCTAGAAGCTCATTCTTACGAAGGGAATGAAGCAGCTGAGGTCAAAGGTTATCAGGGGATGGATGGCCCTTTACAGATTTTTTTTTTAAAGAAATGAATCTGTGGACCTGTTTCAAAGGACAGAGAAATCTTTGGTACAGCTTGTACTACTGTGGAAAAGGAGGCTAAAATGAATGGAGTTAATGTACCTCATCAAACTCTTCACCCATTGGTTATTACATTTATGTGGTACTGTTATCCTTAAATGAAGAATGATTTGTTGGTCTTAAAACACTTCTGGAAAGACTGACCAGTTGCGTTTTTAATCTATGGCTCAAGTACAGCAGGAATAGGGACTTACCAACAACACACACATAAAATATATGATATATATATATGTGTGTATGTGTGTGTGTGTTATTGGTATATATATTATATGATATATATATATGTGTGTATATATATATATCATATTCTTTTCCTTTTTCTTGTTTTTGGTTTTTCAAGACATGGTTTCTCTATGTAGCCTTGGCTATTTATCCTGGAATTCACTCCGTAGACCACACTGGCCTCGAATTCAGAGATCCACCTGCCTCTGCCTCCCTCCCTAGTACTGGGATTAAAGGTGTGCACCAGCACTACCCAGCACATAATATATTTATGTATTTTTAAGATTTTTTTTATGGCCACATGTTCAGTCATCTCTATGTGAATGTTTCTCTGTCAGTTGGTGTGTGAAACCAACAGAACTCTCTAGTGTTTCTAGAGCCTTGTAGTCCTCTTTCAAATGCACAGGAAAGCAAGAATTTGTTCACTGGGTGTCTTTTCTGAAGATTAAATAGGAGTAATTACAATCTAGGCAGAATTTCATTGAAAAATTGAACTACTTTATTTACAAAGGGGTTGAATATAGAGGGCGGCAACCATGACATACAAAGGAAAGTGGAAAATAATGTATTAAGTTATTTTGAACCAAATTGAAATGTTAATATATTCCCACCTGGTTCCTCCTCTATGGATTGAATTATGATAATCAGATCAAGAGGGAGAAAAATAGCTTTTCTAGAGAATTTTGAACTTTTTTCTTTTTGGTAAGTGGAAAGAATGACATTTAATGCAAAATATATATCTCTTGGAGAGGCAATTTGTTTCAAACGGACATTTCCACACCCATGGCTTGTTTTAACTTACATATCTATCACTAATATCAAGACAAGTGACATCACCATTACCCTTTTCTCCTTGAGTTTTAGGCAAGTTGACCAAAACATGCTTGAACAGTTAGACTGCAAGGGAGAATGGGGACTGGGGACTATTAATAACTGTAAAAATGGCTACAAACACCTAAGCAAGTAAAACCTAGGAATAACTTCAGCTTGAAGCATTTATGTGAATCCAGAACGGGGGAGAATGAAGTTATCCATCAAGTAGGTTTTCTTTATATTCCAACTTGTCTGAAGAATCTAGGACAGGGACTTCAGAAAGTGGCAGGTCCCCTGCAGGGGAGTACAATGGGACTGAAGCAGCTGATACGAGCACTTAATAGTGACATGTGCCAAGATATCAGTCATCCTTTCCTAGTGTACACCAGTTAAAAACACACCTGTAGTCCACCCCTCAGGCTCTTCCTGAGATTTGTTTGCTCAAAAATTTAAGATTTTTTTTCTCAAAGTTAGTCAGTTTTAACATTCAGATTCCCCAAATAATTATAGAATAAAAAACTGAAGAAAGAAATCACAACCAGAGACCATGATAGTATAATGACTCTATTTTCTTTCTTTCTTTCTTTCTTTCTTTCTTTCTTTCTTTCTTTCTTTCTTCCTTTCTTTCTTTCTTTCCTTCCGTCCTTCCTTCCTTCTTTCTTTCTTTCTTTCCTTTCTTGCTTCCTTCCTTCCTCTCTCTCTCTCTCTTTTTCTTTCTATTTACCTTTTCTTCACCTGTCTGCCACCTACTTGGCCTCTCAAAGGTATACTGTAACTTTACTATAACTGTAGCATTTCCCTTAAGGATTGGGAAATTAGAGGAAACCTGATAGCATCAGAGGCCCCAGAGACTAAAGATTAAAGGGGCTGGCTTCCTGTTGTCCTTGTAGGGTGAGAGGTGGATAAGGGCACTGAATTCTAAGATCTGAATTTCCTACCGAGAACATTGTACTGTCATTGGATACAATATAAAAGTATAGCCACAGCCCAAGAGGAACATTGCTGTTTACCCTCAGTTCTAGGGAGATGTGATCATGTTGACTTTTGCAGCTGTAACAAGGCAGTCTAACAAGGGTTAGACTAGCCTGGCCTTTACTGACTGGAGGAAAGGTGTAGTTCCCTTCCTTTCTCTTCCTTCATACCCATCTTGGGCAACTAATCTTGGCTTTTCATGCTGCCTTTGTTCTATCTGGGAGTCCATGTCACATTTAGACCATGTGCCTTCCATGGCCAGAGTGAAGTCACACAGTAACACTGAAGAAACAGACATGCCTTTAGAAGACACATTGGTGGTAGAATCCGTGGCTTAGAACCTTCTGTCACCAAGAAACTTTGGGGTTCAGGGGTTTCTCTATGATATTGTAACAAAGGCCAGATGAGAGACAATATTGTGTCAGGACAAGAACTGGAATTACTGAGCACAATCTTGAAAGTCAACTACGATGACAAACGGAGACTTCTGGATAGTTTGCTCTATTTTAAAGTCAAATCTGCTGGGGAAATTATTCTTAATTAAGGATTCCTGTTTAAGTGACAGGTTGTTAGGATTGCTAATCTTAAGGTAAAACAAGAGGAAAAGTTCACCTACCAGGTTTGCAGGAGAGAAAAAAGTCAACAGCTAAATCAGGACCTGAGACCATGGAAAGCCCTGTGTATTGAGGATCCCCAAGACCCCCCCTCCCCAGTTTCTGTGACTCAGGAAATCCAAGAAAGAATACTGTCAAGAGTCCCTTCCATAAAAACACTAAGTTGGAAGCCATAATATCTTCACAGAGGACTTGATACGGACCTGCTCCGCTGCTTCAGTCTCTGTGAGTTAGTAGAAGCTACTTTAGACTGAGCCTTGTTCTCTGTGTGTCCTGCATCCTCTCTGACTCTTACACTTCTAGTGCCCCACCCCTGCCCCCTAGGGGTTCTCTAAGACCTGAGAGGAGTTTGAGAGAGACATCCTGTCAGAGCTGAGTATTTCAAGCTTCCTTTCTTCTCTCTCTCTCTCTCTCTCTCTCTCTCTCTCTCTCTCTCTCTCTCTCTCTCTCTCTCTCTCTTTCTCCATAATGTCTGCTTGTGTGTCTCTGTATCTGTTCCCATCTTCTGTAGGAGGAAGCTTCTCCTATTATGACTGAGCAAGTCACTGATCTATGAGTATAGCAGAATGTCATTAGGAATATTTTTTTTTTTTACTTTGTTACACACACACACACACACACACACACACACACACACACACACTTTTTTTTAGAGGAATTTGTATTTGGGAAATTCATCAACTCATCTTTTTAAAAGTTGTTGGTTTTAGTTATGTGTATTAGTATGTCTCTATGTGTTAGTGTAGTACGCACAGAGAGCAGAGGTATCGGATCCCCTGGACCTGGAGTTCCAGGTGGTTGTGAGCCACCTGAGGTGGTTTCTGAGATTTGGATTCAGACCTCTGGAAGAACAGTGTGTGCTCTTAAAGGCTGAGCCACTGCTCCAGTCCCCATCCTTCCCCAGTTCCCAACTTATTAGAGAACTCTAGCTTTAACAGAAGCATTATTGAGCCCAACTACTGGTAAGTTCCTGGCTTTTCCACAGGCATGGCTAGAACCAGAAGATCTACACCCACAGCAACACTTCATTTGCTCCTCTGTGGGAAACACAGCTGCTGACAGGGGCCATATTTGCCACTCAAGTTCTCTGGTCAGCCAGAAAGGGACTGGCCTGACCCTCCGTCCCTGAGTGGCTCACATTCTACCCTAGACTTATGAACTGTCCTTGGAGTATGATAGTGGAGATGGGGGGCAAGAACTGAACTCACAGAACAGAGAATATTGTTAGAAATCAAATGAAAAATACTTTTAGGTCAACAGAGATTTTAGTTCCCAAAACAAATGTGTATGGAGAGTTTTGTTGGGAAGATGTAAGGAATGTCTACACAGTATATAGTAGGCAGGTGCTGCTGGATGGCTGTAGCCAATAACACATGCGGCATAGAAGTAATAAACAAATCCATAAAATATTACAGTATTTTATGCCCTATCCTTACATTTTAAATCTTTAGAACAACTTCTGCTCAGTGATGAGTCAGCATGCCAACACTTCGGGTTTGGGCTGGATAGG